TTTGTTTTCATCACCTCTTTTTTCCCTAATTCACAACCTAGCTGTGAATTCTCTTCTCCCTTAGTTTGTTCTTCTCTTCTCCCTTTCCTAAAAGCTCCAAAGCCCCTCCAGTTCACAGTGGCAACAGGGAACTGCACACAGGGACATGTAATATTCCCTCATCTGTATGAGTTGCCAAACTGTCTGCACTTCTGTTTTATCCCACTCTTTTGAAGATACTGTGAAACAGTCTGGAGTGCTCAATCTGCCACACCCTCCTTGCCCGGATACTGACAAAGAACATGGTGACCAGAAAAACCTCATGTACAACCACATAAGCCTTGAGTCACAGAAGGACTCCTTCCCTCAAATCTCAAACAGCATGCAAACAGTAACATAAAGTTCAAGTACTGCATAGGATCACTACTCCCATTTTTCAGCAAACAACTTAATGGGTCTGTTAGCAGGATGGATTCAACAACAGGCACAGAAACCTGCTGGGTTTTGTTCTTTTCTTTTATGTTTTTGGGTTTGTTTGTTTTTTTAATCTACTCCAGCTATATGAAAGCCCATAAAAGAGCACCTTCTTCTCTACTACATCAGTCATCTCTGGGTCCAGCCACAACACCTCCTTCCCAAAAACTTTTCCTTCATACTGATTTTGCATAGGTTATGTGCATGTGCTGACTATTTAACAACTTATTTTTCATAAGGCACAGCTACATGTACTTTTGGATATGGAGATTATGGATGCAAAATCACTGCTGGCAACTCCTGCTCTCTCACTGTTTGGCTTTTTAGACATCGACGAAAAATTAGGCAGAAAGGAGATGTTCCACTAAACTGCCAGCAAAACCTTTCACCCCACAGATATTCAGCACAGACACCACAGTCACCAATAACTCAGTCATTTTATTCTGACATAAGGTACAGAGGCAACTCAAGGTTAATAACAGGGACTGAGGAGTTTAGGCCATTCACTCCCACTTAGGTGTTACTTTGCAACTTACTATTCCTAGTGTCTCTCACTGGTTCTTATACTGACGTGGTCAGAATCACATTATTAAGTATGTAAAACATGCCTTCTGGTAAAAGGAGATTTTCCATTGTCTCTATGGAGGATCACTACGTGTCTGAGCTTGACAAGCATTCTCACAAACTATCATGCTTCATAAATCCTAATCGAGTATTTACCATGATCTAGCTCAGTAACCTCTGTTAACAAGTAAGTGTACTCCTCTCTGGAAATACAGAAAGGCAGCATAAATTAATTAACATATACAAGTCATTTACAAACTATGCACGTTACTGTAAACCAAATTCTCCAGTAACTTCACATAATTCTCACTCACCATGCCTTAAATACATTATGTTGTACCTTATATAGCAAAAGTTTTAACTAATGAATCTTACTCTTTAGAATTAAAAACATTCATACTGCTGGGCAAATTATGACACTTCATTACACATAGAAGAGTTTCTGAAAACCAATTCTTTTTTCCAACTTATATGCTTCTTATTCTTTCCAAATCATTCCAGCACCAACACAGAAAATACTTTTCAGAACCTCTCGCAATTAAGGCATAAGGTTTCTCATACTCTTAACGCACACAGCAATGTCTGGGTAGCAAACCCTGTAAGAAAACACCTCCTGCCAATTCATACTACATCTTTATTATCAATGACTGGATGACTATGCATGGCAGGAGTCACCCCTCACTGCAATCACTAAAGATCAATTTATTTGTACAGGGAATTTAACTTGTTCTTCTGTTATTCCCATAATTTTTTTTTTTTTTTGCTATTGTTGACACAGAAAACCCAACAGCTGCAATTGCACACAAGCCATTGTTACCTTCTGCAGCCATTTTCAATGAGGATCTTTCTAATACTGCATCTCCACAGAAAGTGTGTCAAGGCTTGGTACAGCTCACAAAAACAGCTTTAGTTAGTGCTTTGTGTTTTCCTGGCATCTGCCCTAGGCAATGGAAACCTATTCTCTCCTGGTGACGCATTCTATTTTTTTTGGGTTGTGCTTGCTCACACAAAACTTACCTGTAGCAGCAACCTCCCCCTTGCAAACAGTCAGGGTTTTTTTTTCCACTATATTAAATGCAATTAACTTAATTTCTGCACCAAAATATTGGTCCTAAATAATCTCCCTTCCTATACAGTACATTTAGTTTCTGGAATATTGTGCCAAGCTCAAAATATCTTTAAATCCATGTGCATGCACACTTTCTCCTTCACTCCAAATACCCACTAGCCACTTATTATTATTTATTTTCCCTTAGTTATATAAAAAGCACAATAATGATGGGAACCAACCTCCACTGCTAAAGTGTTTCTCTAACAGACAATTGCCCAAGAATCACTGAGCTATCAAAATTCCACTATCAGTAATATTAGAACAGCAAATGCTTTATCAACCATCAGAGGGCAAACACTCTATTTCTTATACAAAGCAAGAATTATATTATAGAAATTAAAAAATTCCATGCCTCTAATACAATAAGGTCTTCTCATGGAGCTAACTCAGAAACTTAGACCACTATATGTATCATATTGAGCACCTCCTAGAGAACCAGGCTAAATCCTTAATTTAAGGCAATTGCAGAAGCATTTGACAGACAGGTATGTAATACCATTTATACTGAGCTACTTGAATGAACTTGGCCTGTCAGATTAAACATGTCTAATAAAAACTGTGTCCTCAGCCTGTGCTATGTCTCCAGCATCCAATTTCCAACTCAGTTCCATCAGCACAAACATTTGCATATTGAACCAGGGGACCTGTCTGCCTAAAAAAACATTCAAACAAAATAAAAACTTTATTTTTCAGTCAGATCAGTTTCTCAGAGCAGTTAATCCCCTGCTTCTGCTGTCACCATGCAAGGAAAACTACAGAGCATAATTGAGCCAGCTTAGGCAACAGTGCCCCTGAATGTGCAGTCTAACCAAGGTAGGTATTCAGTGACAGATAAACCAACATTCTCTGAGCACTAATATATGCAGAAAATATGTAATTTAAAGAAGATTTTGTGTGCCTGGAGATATTCTTGGTTTTTTTCCTTCAGCTGCAACAGCTGGTTTGATAAAATCTCCAGTCCTCCTTCAGTCACAGACTAAGATCAGCTACAACAATACCACTTCATATTTTATCTTAAGATTGTTGTGTTCTTCAATGAAAATTTTAAAGATTTATGTTCTTATTCTGACAAACTGCATTTGCTTCTCTCTGACAACTTGCTTTCTGTCTGAGTCAGAACTGATCCACACCTGTATCACCTTTGGATACAAGTCTTCAAGACTACATCCTCTTTTACAGGGGAGTTCCCTTTTTGCTTACATATTTGTTCACAGAAAACAAATGACTAACAGATTGTATAACCTGACTAAAAAAAAATTGATGGCCACATACTGAACACTAAGAATTTTGCAAGAGGAAATACACAGTATGCTCAGCACCTTTTTTTTTTTTTTGGTTCTTTGTTTCACTTATCAAGTAAAAAGCATAGAAAATTTAAAGATATACTTAAAAGACTGGAAAATATTAGAAGTTAGTAATTCACTACAGCATTTGTCCTTTTTCCTCACTGCATCCAGTCTGATGCAGTGCCATACCTGTTCCTAATAACCCATCGTTCACTCTGGCTTCAGCAGCTCCTGTCCTGGTGTCAAGCATTATTTTGTGTGCTCAGAAGATAGAGAGAGCCACATATTTTTACTAGCTTGGAATTACCAGTTGCTTGTTTGGCTTTTAATATTGAGAAGGACAAAAACAAACAGGTTGAAACTCATGCAAGGTTCACTGAGCTCTATGTCAAAGCAGAACAGAAGCAGGAAAGAAAAGCCAGTATAGTTAGAGGAAGAAAATAAGACAATTTATTTTCTTTTTTAAAATTTTGGATTTCAAAAGAAAACAAAAAAAGCTGGCTGGTTTAGGGTTTTTTTGGTTCTATTTCAAAATTTTCTAATCTGCTCAAATGCACTCCATCACACTCAAAGCCTTAATCGTCTCTACAGGCTGTGAAGGCTTTGAAATGAAGCTATGATGCTTCCAATTAAGGCATCTACATTAACTGTAAGACATTAAGAGAAGAATTACACAAACAGTAGAGAAAGAGCATTATAGCAGGGTAGATTTTTCAGTACCTCACACTGCCCTCACACTCTCTACTTTTAAGAAAATAAAAAGCTAGAGTTTAGATGTCGTTTATATCGCCTCATAGTAAAAGCAGTGTGAAAGCTGGACCATCCATAAAAAATATTTTCTTTCTCATGAGGACAAATCTCAGGTAGGATATCTCTATGCTTCTGTTGCCAGGTGACCTTTCTAAAAAGGAACATTGGCCAGGATATCTCAGCTTTTCAGAACTCCTACCATATCCACTACCCCTGCCTGGTGGCATAGATTAAATCAGTCTCTTCTCACATTTACTTATCTTCCATCCCCAAACTCTCCACAATTCAGTTCCTGATCCTTAAAAATTCTTGTTTCTTCAAATGCACAGAGCTTCCAAGTGTCTTCACTTGGAAGACAGTCATCCTCACTTTCCTATGGTCCTCAGGTCATTACTTAGGGCATTAAGAAGCAGCTTCAGTCGTTGCATTTTCTTTGTTTGTTCCACCTCTTCTGTTCTCCCACTGCTTCCACTTTGCACCTTAGCAAGCTACCAGTAAGCAACTTTTCCACTACTTCTACAGTGGCCCCACTACATGGACCAGAGTACTTCCTGGTTCCTCACAAATCCCACATCCATCACACTTTGCTTTTTGATTATTTTCAGAGTTTACAGACAGTTAGCACACCCATGCAATCACTCATATCCAGCTCAGTTGCCCAACTCCAAACAGAGCCAGCAGTGTACAAGACTACTTTCCCATAGCGACTCCTACTTGGTAAAATAAATTTCCTATTTTAGTACCACTTAGAAGCTATGATATTTTGGGAGGAACAAAATATTCCTGTGAGAAGGCAGACAAAAATACTTCCAAACCAAGTCCATTACTTTTCTTACCTTTCTCAAAGACCACTTCCCTGCTCAGGATGGTCTCGTTATCTCTGATCACTTCTCCTTTTACGGTGACCTGTGCTGGGCTGTCCGGCAGCAGAGCTACCCCAACAGTCAAGTTTGCTCCAGGCCGGATGTTCCAGGGAGCTGCCACAAGGAACGTAGGTCTGGAAAGCCCAAACGAGCAGAGAGAGAAAGGGCAGGGAGTGAAACACACTCTCATAAAAAGTAACCGCGTACACATAAAGACATACGACACACGTAGCCAAGCTCTTCTGTCGCTCTGCGCTGCGGAGGCTGGAGGTGATGCTCACCCCCGGCTGCAGCGGGCAGCGCCGCTCTGCCCGCTCCCGGGACCGGCTGCCAGGCGGGAGCCCCGGGCAGCGCTGCCCGCGCAGCCACCGCGGCGGGCGGCAGGGAAGGAAGAAGAGGTGCCCCGTGCCCCAGCCCCACGTACCCGGCCGCCGCGGAGCTGCAGAAGAAGAGGAGGAGGAGGAGGAAGAAGAGGACGTCGCGGCGGGTCCGCGCCATGGCTCTCCGTGCGCGCTGCCCGGTGCGTCCGCCGCTGTGCGCAGGGCCGGGCCCGGGGCTGTGGCCGGGCGGGAGGCGCCTTGGCGGGCGGGGAGGGGAAGGGAAGGGAGAGGCGGCCGCTGCCCCAGCGCCAGGCACGCTCCGCAGGCGGCAGGAGCCGCGGGGCGTTCCGGGGGCCGGCCCGGGTGGGCGGCCCGGCGGCAGCACACATCTGTCTGCACAGGGATACCTACGGGTGTGTCGCCTCTCTCTGCCATCGCTCCCACATCCTGCGGCCGATGCAGCTGGGAAACGGGTGGGGTTCTCAGAACCCAGCACTATACAAAAGCAGAATCGAGAGCAATGTTTTGTGCCTGCAGCTCCGAGCAGAGCAGCAGCCCGTTGCGGAGAGCTGCTCGGTTATCGGCTCGGAGAGACACGGAGAGCCCGCAGAGGCGCGCTGGCCTGGGGCTCCGGCTCGGAGGAGAGTCGGGAGCGGTTCTGGGTCTGAACAGGGAGAAGTATGCTGGCAAAAATTCAAGGAGCCTCGTAGCTACTTAAATGTGAACCGATTGGTAATGCAGCTCTGGCTGGACTGTCCTCTGTGCCCCATATTTGCAAAATAAGGTCGTACCTACTTATAAATCTTAACCAACCTTCAGAGTTCAAAAAGTGCACTGAAGCAGCTTGGGTAACAGAATCCTTTCTGTTCCTTTAGCAGGTTAATTTTAACTGTGTAGACTAGACATATCTAATGTTTGATTTGTGCAAATTCTTTCATTGCAGGACAAGTCTAATACATTTAGAAATTATGCCAAATTCTTGATGTGTGCCTCTTCAGAAGTGCTGGAGTGGCATCCTCTGCATTGTGGTACACAGCCAAATGCAGTCAGCTATAGTCCTAAACAGAAGCATCACGCTGTGTTCTTATGAAAATCAGATATGAGCAGTAATGTGCATAAACACTGTGCTTTAATTGTATACCAGGCAGGCATGCTGTCTTCTCACATCTTTTACATTTGCTTTTCTAGGTTTTCATACTCAGCTGATTATTTTTGGAGCACCAGTCTTTGTGGTGACAGAAGAGAGGGTGTCACCTCTGCAGACTAGGAAAGGGTTGATAGTGCAACAACCAACTCATGCTTGCAAAGTCAGTCTTGGCAGCTGCTCACCTGCAAAATGTGCATTATGAGGCAAAGCTCGGGAGATGTTTACTGTTGGTTTTAGTAACTCCTTATTACATGTGAGAAACAGCCAGGGAAGATGAACAGTCACTGCCACTCCTTTTCTTGGAGATTGGGAAAAAGTGCTTACAAGTAGCACTGCATCCCAAGAACCCCAGCCTCAGATGGCAAAGCTACACATGATACACGTCTGCATTCCATGGCACTGAGCCAAACTGGCACTCCACCACTCCATCAGCTCTCTCAGTCTCCAAAACAAGGTGGTCATATCCCAGCTTCCTATCAGGTATGGTTCATGCTAACCCCCAAACTGCACCAGAAATTCTTCAAGAAAACACCACAGCCAGGGCAAAACCATGCCAAGGTCAGCTTGAGGGTAGAGACAACCAATTTGCAGTCCCAAGAACATTTGTTGGCACTGTTTAATTCATTAGTGTGAATGTAGCCCAAAAGTTCATTAGTGAAAATGCTTGCAAATGTCACAGGTTCTGTCCAGTTGTGCAACAATATTGTAGACTCCCATCTTCCCCTTTTGTTCCTAGGGGCTTGCTAGTTTAAGATACTTTGGTATATGTATTTGATCTCTTCTTCTACAAAAATGCAAATAAAGGAATTCTACAGCAGAAAGTAAGAGAATAAACGGATTGTCATATTGGGGATTGTCCTGAATAGATTTAGAAAAGATAAGAAATGGAGGAACAGAAATGGTTACATTCCGTTCTGTAACAACTTACAAGCTCCATTTCTTACAGATGTATCCATGCACTCAGAGATGTTTTCATCATTTCATTTCCAAACAGGATATACTATGCTGTAGGCATACATCTAAATGTACTATACTGTACATTTAGATTTTCATGGTTAAACATTTAGGAATCAAGTGTGGTATGTAAGGATTCTGTAAGTTCCCAGTTAGCAGAAAACTTAAACACATTTATGTTTAGGAATGAAAATATGCCCATTCAGACATTCAATTTCAAGAGTCGTGTCTTACCAGCATCTAAAAGGTCTTGATTTTCAAAAGTGCTCTGCAGCTGCTAATTTTCATTGCAATATACGCTCTGGTTTCCCCTAAACACCACTTCAAATCCTACATTATTTTACCAAATGTGGTCCTTCTTTGGCGCCCAAACACTAACTACTGAACCTGAACAGGGAGCAGCTTTACTGTGTGATGTCTCCCTCTCCCATCCTCCATTCAGCACCTCCCAGCTCTGCAATCCACAGCCCTCCAATCCCTATTCTGCAGCCTGTGCTATATAGTGCCTTCTGGAGAGAGGTTTACAACTACTGCAGCTCATTTCAGTGGCCCTGTTTGCAGCACAGCCCCACAGCCCCAGAAGTGGGTATCAGTATAGTCAGATAAGAAACTATGGAGCATGAGCAGATAAGAAATGGAGACAACTTTCAGCCCTATAGCCAGTGACTGCCTGTAACTAGACCATGTATCTTAAGCCCGCTCTGCACATTTCTCTGCACCCAAAGAATAAAAATGGGTTATGAGTAATTGGAAAATTAGCCCAGTTAGAGAGAATTGAGCTAAACTGGTATCCCATTCATGCTCACTAAGTGCTAAGCTATTTGTTCTTTTGGACTTGGATTTTGATAAGCAAAAGTGATCACACAACCCTACCAGTTGTATTACTGTTTCATGCCCCAGCACTCTGTTGATCTGCTCATTTCCACTGACAGTTGTCTACACTAGGGTTTTGTTATGCAGTTACATGTCACTGTTTGATTTAGGTCAGACTGGCAACTCAAACAAAAACAAGCAGGGCTTCAGTTTGTGCTAAACTGGTCAAATTTAAACTTAGGGGCACTTAGTTATAAAAAACTTCTGCTTCTGTTATAGAATGCACAATATTCTCAGCTAAAAAATTCCTGTGCATCCAGAACAAGCAGAAGGAACAGATCACATTAATACTAATTAACTGCTAAGACATCTGTGCTTTAACTCAACAAAAGACTTTAGTTGGTCTACACACTCAAGGCTATATAAACAACCATTTATCAGCATCTCAGGCCTAAGTATGTTTTAAATGCCTGTTTCTGACAAACACCTGGAGAACTAATTTGTGCACAAAGAATACCATGCAAGGGAAATTTGCACCTCACTTCTGCATATTAGGAATAAATTTGAAGGAGTATAACCTAGCATGAAAGGATTTAACAATAATCAACTGCTCCAAGCTGGTCAAGTGGATACAGTGGAGACACAATTTAGCAGGTAAAAAAGGTGGCTCTTGTGTTCAGCCAGAGAAGCCAGTTCCCTCTCTGTTCAATGTTCACACTTTGGAGTTAAAGAAGCATCACCAGACCCAAGTTGTACACCCATCTGTGAAATGTCATCATTATTAAAATGCCACTTTTACCACCTTTGCTGCTACCCAGGAGCCTTATTTTGCTAATCCTTCATGGTGCCTGACAAGCAGAGCCAGTAAAGCCTGCAAAAGTTATCTACAGCACTGGCTGTGCTAACAAATATACTGTTACCTGTTTCTATACAACTTAGTTTAAGTGTAGCCCAAATATATGTACCAGTACCAGCAGAAATCACACCTCTGAATTGCAGCCTAAGTATATTCAAAATAAAAATGTGTTTAGGTAAATACAAAAACCCAGAATGGTTTCTTAATGAGTCCAGAAAGCAACTTCTGCCTTAATCAATTAGAAGGATCTCAGCACCTAGCAAGCTCTAGTAATTGTATGAAGATTGGCTGGAAACACATGCACAGCAAGTCTGCTTTTCTCTAATGTCACATGTAAAAACTGCTGTTGTGGTAAATGTAAAAACTAAGTACTACAATACTTATATATTGGGGAAAATCTCCTCAAAAATTACAGCAGTGAGTACTAGAATGGTCAATGCCCTGTATCTGCTTTTAGCATTAGACAGTGAACTTGGATGATCTGATATTCAACTGGATTCAGCAGGCAATCCAGACTATGGTACAAACAATATGTTTCCATGAAATGAGGCAAATTCGGGGAAATCTGAAGAATTTCAGATTATGTGGAAAGTTATGTGGATATTTGAATCAGAAGACCACTTCAGCCTCTTCCAGCATAATATTCTCTCTTCAAAAGTTTAGCCAGTTGCCTTATGCATCACTGAACTCAAGGCCTGCAGCAGAGCTCATGCAGGGGATGAATAAATCTTTTAATCAATCTCAATAGGCTTTGGATGAGGTCCTAGCAGAAACTGAGATTCAGCAGTTCATGGACTAGGAAGGAAGCAACAGTCTGTTTTATCATTCATTCTGAGTGGACAAGAATTAAAGTGAATACTAAAAATAAGTGGGTGGAAGATCATTTGTGGTAGTAGGAAGGCACATTCCTTGCTTGAATGTCAGCCTGAAGAATTTGTGTTTGCTGGAAATTACTGACAAGGAGCAGAGGCTATAAAGCTCTCCCAGAACACTTCTGATGCTGTTTCTGATGATGGAATGTCATAACGTTTTACACTGCACTGTCAATGGGTGTGCCGTGCACTGAAATTTGCCCTGAGCTATCAGGGTGGAGCTTTATGAAAATCTGGTCTGCACTAAAATTAAGACTTTTTTCTTATTAGCTGAAGACATTTCCCTTGGTGAAAAATGTTATTTATGTATTCTCTTCCAGCTCGAACTGTACATGCACCCAGAGTGGGTAGGATTCATGTGATCAAACGTGGACTGTGCAATTGTCTATAACTGGTTATTTACATTCACTGGATGGACAGTGGAATGAAGCAGGCACTTCTCAGAACAGATTTTTATGACTCATTGAAATACCAGCATTTGAATGAACAGACATTCAAAAGTAGCCTTCTAAATGAATCAGGCTAATCCTCATTCT